CCTTCTGCTCTGGACGGTTCCAGGCCATGGGACGCTTAGGAAGGAGGTGTGCTGCATTCTCAGAAGGCCGCATGATCCTCTAGTGAGTCGGTATTTACATCAGCAAAATAACTCAATTTTACAGGTTGCAAACACAAATAAAAGCTGTTTCTCTTTATGCATTTTATTCTTTTAGAATAAAATAACTACATGCTGCTGTAATAAAACTGCCTTTAATACTTAACAAGCCTAACCTGGACTCGAGCAGTGAATGCCTATAAGCATAAATGAAAAAGGCTAGTATTTTTATAACATAACAGTATCATTTGTAGCTAATCAGTCATGTATTACCTGGCAAAAATAAGCCTGACGAAGAATTAAGTTATCTTCAAACCTGCGAACGATGGAGGCTATTTTTGTTAAGACTGTCAGAATTTACTAACTATGATTGCGACACTTAGTCCAAAGAATGCAGTGACCTCCTTATCATGTTAATTAATTGTTCTCTTCTGAAGCTCTGTTGTGTTGATTAATTGAACGATGAGATAATTGAAGTAGTGTCCTGGGAAATGCCACTTGGGCTCCCTGCTTGGAGTCCAGCCGGCCGCTCTGCCTTTGCCCACGCCCAGCTTGGCCTGACTGTGCATCCTGTCTCCTAGGGGCTTTGCGCTCCGCCCCTGGCTTCAGTCCCAATCGGCTAGAACCAGGCTTGGATCGAGTGTTTTGTTTGGGAGTTATTTGGCTAGGGACTTTTGAACAGTAGTGTCCCAATGAAGTACTAGATGATATTTATTTAAAAATGAGCTTTTTTTTTTTTTTTAAACAATAATACCCTTTCAGAAATTTCTAACTACTTTGTAACTGCATGACTTAACCTGGTGATAAAAAGCAGTTATTAAAAGTCTACCTTTTCCAAAGCCGATGTTTCTTTCTGCATATTTGTATTCCACCGTGCCTCTTGGCAGATGCTAAAGCTGTAACTGGGTTTCTGGACTTCCCGTAAGAACCACCTACGGAGCGTTCGCTTCCATGAGCTGCCCTGGGTTAATTCTTTAAGTCTTTTGTATTTTATTTTATGAAATGTGTCCATGGCTATTCTCAAGGAAGAGGCCCTGATGCTTAAAACTGATAGACCAAGGTAATGTCTGTGCCTTTCTTAGTGTAGGTCTCCCTGCGGAACTTAGCCACAGGCCATGGTGGCTACTTGAGGCAGGGCACTCTCCGTGGTCAGCAGAGCTGGGCCGAGACTTGACCTCACCATTTCCTCAGCTGCAGGCCTGACTCTCCCACGGTCTCTGTCCGTCTGTCCTGGTTCCACCTCTCTATGCTCTGAGCAGCGTGTCAGGTGGACAGGCCCTGGCACCAGGGGCACAGAGAGCCCTTGGGCACAATGATTCCTGCCTGCAGACTCGGGAGGGCTGAAACATGTTGGGGAGACATTTTCCAGAATGTTGAAAACTGTTTGGTGCATGGTAGCTTCATATCATGTGGAAGTGGGGTTGACGTCTTCCTTCAGGCCTTTGTCCACACCCTGGGAATGGGGGTGGTTTTGGGGACTGGTGTGGAGGGGTGTGTTGAGATGAGTGTTTAGCGTCTTGCCAAGTCGGCTGCTACAAAGACAGCTCTGAGGCAGACAATTCTGGAGGTTTGGGTGTTCCGATCCATTACTTTCTAGCTTTAACAGAATTTTCTTATTTGTTTTTAGTTCTTTTAGAAACTCACACAGGGAACCAGCAGTTAGCATAATGGCTATGTCGCTGGACTCCCACGTAGTCGACCGCGATTCGCGTCCCGGACCCGGTGGCTTAAAACTCACGCCGGGCGCGTGTGCGTGCTTGCCCAAGATCCCGAGAGGAGAACGGAGGAGAAGGGACTGCAGCGTGACCATCCCCCCTGGGGGATCATTTCTCGCTTTCTATCCCTAATGTCTCTCTCTGTCTGTCTGGCGAGCGCACGCGCCCTATAGCAAAAAAAACCTCTCCAAAAAAAAAAACTCACACATAATGCTTCTAAAATAGCACCTATTTTTTTTTTTTCCCAGCCATGGTTTTGGCAACTCAGTGACTAGGACTGGCGATTCTTTCATGCATTGCTGTTAGGATAGTCCTGCATGGCACGTGAGGGAAACTACAGCTGTGGACCTCGTGCAAAAGACTTTTGCTTTGCAGTATGGGTATTACGATTTTTAAGTTTTTTCGGATAACTTCTGTTGATGTCTTTGGGTTCGTGTTTGTATCAGACTCACACATATGTTAGACGTTGCTTCTCGGTCTTAGCACCGTCCACGTTGTTGGTGTGCTGAGAATTGTGAGATGCCATCCTGTGCTGTGTAGCGTGTGTGGTGATGTCTGGCCTCTGCCCCTTAGATGCCAGCAGCACCCCTCAGTGTGACAGTCACATTGTCTAGTGTCTTATGGGGGCAAAAGGATCCCTTGAAAATTGTGACCTGGAGAAGTGAGTAGTGCTGCACGGTTCATCATGAGCGATGGCTTGTCCTCCAGCCTGCCCACCTCCCGTGCCGTTTCCTGCTTGCCAGAAGTACTCACACTGAATGACATCACATGCTTCATTCTCTTTGCTCCCCCTTTTTTGTTTTAATGGTGTGTGTGTGTTCAGCAGAGAAAGAGAGAGAAAGTGAGAAATCATCCCCCAGTGGGGACAACCATACCACAATCCCTTCTCTACTCGGGATTTGGGGCATGCACACACATGTACCAAACATGGTTTTCAAGCTGGGTCTGGGACTTGAACTGAGTTCACCCATGTGGGAGTCTGGCACCTTCACCACACCACCTACTAGCCCCATTCTTTGCCCATTTTTAAATGGGTTATTTGAATTATTGGGTTGTAAGAGTTCTTTATAAATTCTTATCAGATTCACAAGTATTTTTCTCAATCTGTTGCTTGTCTTTTCACTTTCTTGATCCAGTGCACTAACCTGGCATTAGGGAAGTTCCAAGTCTCAGAAGGAGGGAAAGGACGGAAGCAACAGAAAGAATATTTGGGGAAAAAAAAAAAAGACTAAAGGGGGTCAGCAGGTGGCAAAGTGATTACTGTGGCACTGGATTCCCACATGGCTGACTGCACAGTTTGAGTCCTGGACCCAGCAGCCAGGCATGCATGCCCAAAATCCTGAGAGGAGAACAAGGAAGATTGTGGCGTGGTCATACCCAAGAGCAGTTTCTCACTTTGCTCCTTTCTCTGTGTCTCTCTCCTGTTTGCAGATGTGCCTCATAGCGAAAAATAACAAAAATTTTTTAATCCAATTATGCCACTTACAGAAGATTCACTTCAGACCCAAAGAAAGTGGTAGAAAATTAAAAAAAAAAAAATCTGGAAAGATAACTCCATACAAATAATGAACACCTCCCAGGGGGGTTGGCCACGCCACAAATCATCAAGAAGATACAACAGTTACATGTGGAGCAAAAAACAGCCTCAAAATATGCCGACAGAATTAAAAGAAGAAATTGATAGTTCTGCAGTAATAGAGACCTCAACATGCACACATATAAAATACACTACATTAGTAAAATGAGAAACACAAAGCACAATCTCGATGCAAAAAATTTTTGACAAAATTCAACACCTTTTCATAATAAAAACTACTTAGCTAGAAACAGAACTAACTAAACAAGGCATTTATTAAAAATCCAGAGCTAACATACTCATTGGTGAAAAATGGAAAACTTTCCCCCTAAAAACTGGAACAAGAAAAGGACTGACTTGCAGTGCTTTTTAATTTTTTGTTGGAAATGTTAGCCAGGGGAATCTGACAAGCAAAGGGGAAGGCATCTAACTTGGACAGGAAGAAGTGAAATTTGCATGATTCTGTATGGAGAACATTCCATAAAGTACATGCATGCACGCACATAGCTACAAGGTGAGTAAGCTAATTCAGCAAAGTTGGAGGGGACAGAAATCAGTATACAACACAAAAAGTTGTTGACTTTCCGTGCACCAGCTAATGGGACCAGCAGTTACATCACTGGATTCCGATGTAGTCAACCACGGTTTAAGTCCTGGACCCAAAGACAAAAAACTCGAGCCAGGTGCATGTGTGTGCCGTAAATCCCAAGGGGAGAGTGGAGAACGGATTGGGGCATAGCCATCCCCCCTGCAGGGTGATTTTGTTTTGTTTCATTTGTTTTTTTAAAGAATTATTTACTTAATTTTATTTAGTATTTCAATTTGATCAAAGGGAAAGTGAGAAAGCAAGCCACCAGGTCCGGGACTTGAACTACAGTCAGCCATGTGGGAGTCAAGCGCCTTAACCACCATGCCGCCTGATGGTCCCTAGGCAGGTAGCTAAGATACAAGTGGGCAGCCCTGAGAAAATAGAAGGATGTGTCACATCAACCACAACCCTCCATAAAAATGCTTTCTTCCTACCCTGCTGATGCCAGGAAGGCAAGGCAAGTACCATTTTTCTTTCTTGGTAACTGATGAAGACACATAGGGGTGATTGTAAATTTCCCTCTTTTCATTCCTAATAAATACGAAAAAGACCCTACTGGACATTTTGAGTCAACATCCTGATTCCCACTGGGGCAAGGAACTGATTGGGCAATTCACCCTAATTAGGGTGTTATCATGGCTCACAGCATGTGCAGTTCATAAAAGTCCTCAAAGTCTCCGCCTATGAGAGCTGCAGGCTCAGAGAGAAGCCCAGGAATTCAGAAGACATAGATACTAAGACCTCCCACTGTTCAATGTTCGATTTCATTATCACCTCTGCTAATAAAAATAACACCTAAACCACTAC